AGCTTTTGTAAGCAAATTCAAAAGCAAATTGTTTGGCTTTTATGGCCAGGACGCAGATTGGCACGAATGTAGCAATTTACGACTTAAACTGCCAATACTGTCTAGACTGGGCCATGGTCTTGACTTGAATCTCAATGAAATTGATTTAAGTTGAAAAAACTCATTTATAGAACATGTAAAAGGCGTCGATTTTTAGCATATGACTCACTGTTCTTACGAATGAACAGCATGCAAAGATATTCTTGGTGCCTAAAATTCGAAGACAGAGATTTGTTGAGGCTCTCATATAACACGTTTCCATTTAATAACGATGATACGGGTTGGAAGCCCTGACTGTTGTTGTGAAAGGCAGTATTAGCTAGTGCTGTTAAAAAAAAAATAAAAGCCATTTTTCCAGTAAAAAGATTTTTTTCTTTCGAATTTGAATGCCATATAATTTCAAGTTCCTCTTGTTCTTTGTCAAAGCACACTCACTAACATACAGGATTATTTTCTACCTCATATATGTCGCCATATTTCGTTTGTCTAAAAACAAAGCAACATCATTATCCTCAAGCTTAAGACCACAAGGCGCTTTTCCGTTTGTCGTTTGACATTCAAACACAACAACTCCACTTGCCTTAAACTTTACCTTTACGCTTTTATAACCCCTACCTTTCATATTTTATGCACTTAATCAAAATTTTAAATCAAAAATGTTGCCTAACAGTGGGTCGTGGAGCACATAATGCGTACACACATATTTCTAACTGGTTTGGGTTTTTATAATAGTAATACGAATATAATAATGCAGCACGGCTGGCATTATAATAAATACGCAGGGAAATAGAACGCACAGAGAGTAAGAGAGAAAGAGAGATGAAGTGGGGGTTTGACAAAGGTTTAGATGAAGGGGTAAGGGGAGGGGTCTGTGAATAAAAATAAATAAAGCATGCAATAAATTTAGCAAAGCGCAAGCAATCAGCCAACAAATTGTAAACAGTAAATTTTGCGCTAGGCAAGCTGCAGGGCATGTCGGGGGCAGCGGGGGCAGAAGCTAAGGGTTGAGGGTGGCAGAAGCTGCTCGGCTCCACATTAGCACTAAATCGCAGCGACTAGCGCCGCCAGTTAGTTAAACGATTCTCACATAAATATACACCTACACACACGCACACACACTCGCTCACGCAGACGGCTGGTGTTGGCGCTGTGCCACGCCCACAAAAGAAATTTATCTGCCGTGTTACGGCGGTGGCATGTGCAAAATCCTTTGCGCGCTGCAACGATGTGTGGACTAATCTTTATTTCGATATTTGCATAAGCGCAAAAAAACAAACATGTCAAAAATTTGCAAGCGTCGTCGTGGCTGTTAGTTCGCGGTGGGTTGCAGGTCGGGCTGGCTTTGCTTTCAATACCCTGTAGAAATAGAAAATTGGCAAGCGAAAAATATAGCACATTGTGGTTGGGGGAACAGGCTAAAGATTCCATTACGATCGAGCCATAAGCTCGCCAAGAATTTAGGAAAATATATTGAATAGAGTGGGGCTTAGAGCAAAGAAGAAGCACAGCCACAACTAGGTACAGGGTATCAAATAGTCGTACATACTTGATTGAAGGACTCTTTTTTGTTTCATTTTTGTTTTTTTTTTTTGGGAGTGCATAAAACTGCGAGCTAAAGGATTTACTGCAGCTGCCACGCCCACAACGGCATCAGAGCTATTGCTAGCCGCCTAGCCGGAGTCACGTTATTTGCAGGTGTTGCAATCTATCCGCCAACTCTGACTGCAACGCGGGCGTCTCCAGGTGTGCGTGTGTGTGCTCACAAGGTGGCAATGGCGGCTTTGCGGTGAGTTGTAATAAGAGTAGCAACATGCACACACACACACATGAACACACATCTCGTTGCAAGTGTTTTTGATCTCGCGCTGCTTTAGCCTGTTGGGAATTTTGATTAAAAATGCTTCCACGTGAAACTCAAACGTGCTTGGCGTCGAGTCGCCGGATCTGGCAACTCTTGACGCTCACTCTCCCGCTCTCTCTCGCTCACTCTCTCCTCATGCATGGCTGAATGGGTCTGGGTGGGCGTGTCAGTCGCCTTTATTGGCATTGGCGCGTTTATTTTAACGCGTTGCTGCCTGCCGCGTGTCCGTGTATATGTGTGTGTGTGCGATGTGTGTGTGTTTGCAAATTTTTACATTGAGATTTATCACACCAAAAACTTTAACCCAACGAGCGAGAGCGTAAAAAGAAAAACACAATGAGAAAATTGCTTTGAGTATGCCTAGCCGAAGTTTGTATACCCTTACGAATGTACAAAATAATTTTGAGATATGTAAAATATTTATGAAAATATAAAACGTCTCATTTGAGCTCATTTGAGTTATAGTAGGGGTTTTCGTCTGTTTTAAGAATACTTAAACAACTCGCATAAAAATTTCCTACAACATTTCTTAAATATAGTCGAAGATCTGACGCCAAACAAAGTTTATAATACTTATTCTTACTAATTTGCAATCCCATAAAGCAGATGAAAAAGGGCTTTGCTTGTGATCTGGCAAACTTTATGATATAGTTCGCATAACTTTTGCTTAGGGTATATAGATGATGTAAATATCACAATATGCCGCAGCCCTTTGCAACTGCTACATAAAGCAATTAATTGTTAAGGCTGCTGGCGTCTGTGCAGCTGCAGGTGAGTTATATGAGATACATACATTATGCCAAACATATATATTCGCATAGATGATGGATATACATGGGGCTAAATGCGGGCATGTTGCCCTAGCAAAAAAGAAACTGCCCCGCGTGATGATATATTTGCAGCAGTAAGCAAGGCTAGCTGGATGAAAGTTAAGGCAAGAGTTAAGGGAAGCCATAAAGTAATATTCAAAGCGATTTTGGTAGTTTCCCAAAATTTAATTTATGCATATACCAATTTTTTAGTCTACCGAAAAAAAAGAAGATGTCTGACTGGTGGCATGACAAACGAGCGGCGTGTTAATCCCAACTTTTACCTTCAAATCGCTCGCTTGTAGTCCCCACTAAACTACACTAATTACTTCCCCTCGTTTCGTGGGTTGTTCCACAACCGCCACAAGCACCATGAGACGCTATGGGGCTCCATCAAGGAGCGTTACAAGCGGCCACAAATCAAATGCACACCAATTACCTGGCGCCAGGGCGCACAAAGCATAATCAACTGGCATAATTAACAACTAAAAATGCAAGAACCCGAGTATGCGAGTGTGTTTCACTGTGAGCGTGTGTGTGTGTGTGTGTGTGTGTGTGTGGGAGCGAGTGTATCAACAAAAATATGTTTTTGCACCTGGCCCTCTGCAATTTTCACACATTTTGCGGTCTTACGTCGCCACACAGCCCCATTCCCTTGCCCCTTCCTCCGTCAAACTATAAACAACAACAATAACAACAAGTCGCAAACAACCAGTAGACAGTAGTAAATTATAAGTTGCAGAGTCTGGCCATAAAGTATAGCACATTACTCATACGCCACGTGCATAAATTTCAACCTTTTACCTTGGCTGATAATTATTTTCCGTTTACAAAATGGCTGCCATATCAAGAACTGGCAAAAGACCAGGCCAGAAATCGAAAGAATTGGAAACACATAATATATACTTTAACTGGAAAAACAAAAACTCTACACTTTTAACTATTTCCTTTCAAATTGCCAGAACATGTAAAGAGCTATAAATAAAATTGATAAAATTGAAATTGAAAATATGATTTTATGTCCTATTGGCTTCAGGATTAGTTGTGCAGAAATTTAAATGAAAATGTATCGAAAATATCTTTGTCCAGACTAAGCTTAACTAGCATTATGTTGCCATAAGCTAAGTTACAAATACTCTTACGCAAGTTGCAATAGTGCCTTGTTTATGGCTAAATAAATACACTTTTATACCACATTTCGCCCAGTTTGTAACTTTAACCCAGAACTTTATCATAACTTAGATCAACTTCACTTGGTGCACAATAAATAAGTTGATGTTTAATCAAATTTGGGAAGAGCTGCCAAGTTTTTTGCAGATATAAAATTTGTGTTTATTTGTAGCCCAAGCGTATTATATAAGTTTGCCGTGCACTAAATTTATTTAGCAATAAATCCAAAACTCAAGCAATATACTAGCAATGGATAACTTTTGCTAACTAGTTTTATTTTTTCTTAATTTTCTGCACAAAATTTGTTTGTTGTTTTTGAGCGAGCGATTAATTTGTATGAGTTTATTGCACACTTAATTAGACGTGGGCTACTTAAAGCTCATTAAAAAATTTGCCAGAGCCGGCAAAAGTTATGAATACACTGCAAAAGCCTTAATCATCTATCCGCCCTCCCCACGCTCGACGATAACCCCTGCTCGTTCCCTGTTATTGATTTGCGTTCAGCAATACAAAGAGAAACTTTTAGCTGTTTATAATTTAGTGCAAAATTATAAATACTTTCGGGCCAGGCTTTGCGCTCGGTTTAAGCAAATTAGCTCAATTGCCGGGACCAGAAAGTGAGCAGCCCCTCCCCCTCTCTCCCCCTCTAGTTCTATTCCACGCCTGTATATAGCTATTTGGCATAGACTTGATTAGGCTTAGGCCAAAAAACTTTATCCTTTGCACAGTTGTAAATAAGCAAAAGTAAATTTTGGCAAGTAATTTAAGCCACACAAACAAGCTGGCAAACAAGTTTACAGCAGGCGGCAGTTAGCCCACGGCTTGCCATTGGTATGGAGAGTTAAAAGACAGGAAGGAAGGGGGGTGGGGGTGGTGTTGACTGGGGTTGGGTTTTAGATGTGGTGGCAAAGTTGCTATTACGCCAAGGCGTGTAAAGTTCTTTAACCAGTTTTAATTCAAAATCAATGTATGAACTTTGCTTACATTACGCTAAAACTTTGCTCTGCCACTAGCCGCCCCCACCCCCTCCTCCCTCAAGGCAACACACACAACGCAGCCGCTCTTCACTTGCAGCTTCAATTAAGGCGCCTGCATTTGGCTATAAATGGGTTGCCACTTACCTTCATAGATGGTTAAAGTTGCATCTGCGGATACGGCATCCCCCACTCCGTTCTCGGCGACGCACTCGTACGGCGCATCGTCTCGTCCGGCCCGCACGGGCTCGATGCGCAGTATGGAAATGCCGCCTGGCTGTTCCAGCACCGTGTAACGAGATTGAGTGCCTGTGTTGAGTAGGGGGATAGACGAACGGATGCATAGATGGATTACTCAGCTGGCAAAAAAAGTGTTGGCTAATGCTCAACTTACCCGATACTTTTTTGCCGTTTTTGCGCCAGACTATCGATGGCGGCGGATCGCCGCGTGCCGCACAATAAAAACTGGCCACGCCTCCAACGCGCACGCCCTGGTTTTGCGGCTTCCTGATGATCTCCGGTGGATCTGTGAAAGTGCAAAAGAACAGCAATTGAGGTTTAGTAAAAGTATTTAGCTTAAAGTTTAAGAACAGTACAAAAGACGGGGCACAGAAATGACACGCTGCTAATCTTTACCACCAGGCAGATGGCTATACTTCGACGAGACACATGAACTGAAGTAAGTTAATGTAGCATTTATTTCAACATTTGTTTGCTAACACTCAGGTGGAGATTTGTAGTTATATGCAGTATAATACATTGTTATCGCCTTAAGTGAGAATTTTGCGAAAGCTTAGAGCAAATCAAATGAGTTGTGCGCTTGTTACTTGAATCAAGATATCGCCCAGGCGATAAGAATGCCTGTTTCGCAGGGAAAAGCTATTTCGCTCGTGTATATGAAGCATTCCATTCAAAACGAGCGCAATAAAAAAGCGTTAACTACTGAACGAAGCGCACGATAATAAACGGTTGCAGGTTTGTTTTAACTTCGAGGCAGATATGCTGTAATTGTTAAGCCTGCAACAGTGCAACTGGGCAACTGATTTTTTTTTGTTCATGTTCTCTCTTTACGCCCTTTGCCTTTTGCCTTTTGCTTTAGCAACGAATTCGATTTATTTTTGCGTTTGTGTGTTTTGCGCATTTCTTTCTTTTTTACATATTTGTCACAATATGCTGTCAATACAACGTCGCATGTTGTTTGTGCCACACACAAACACACACACACACACACACTCAGTACGTTGCGTACGTGCTGCACACACAGCAAGAGATACGAACAGGAACCGGCACAGCTGGCTGTGTGTGTGTGGCATTAAAAATCTGGCAAAAATCACGAAACGTTAAACAAGCAGCAAAAATATTGTCATGTGCATCGTTTGTGCAGCAGCAGCAGCAGCTTCCCCCCTGCTGGCCCCGCCCCATCGTCAATTGTTCTGTCTCTCGGCCGCTGTGTAAAGTAGTTTACCCAACATATCAATTCGATTTATGCATTTTATTTAAATTAAATGTTAAATTCTCTTATTCATTCTTTTTTTTTATGTTCTTAACTTTGCTTCGCTGCCGAAGTGTCGCCGGCCAGCGGGCAAAACTTACGTGTCAGATATTGTATATAGGGAAAATCCGAAAAATTTGCATCTGTAAATGTAGCGGCGAGGTTAATATTAACGGATATTGCAACGCGGCGCAACACGACACGATTTTCAACCGTTTATGATTGACGCGTTTATTTTGATTACGATTATTCATAGGATTTTTATTTAATTTCATTTTTTTGTAATTTATGGTTATGTTTTTGATTTAAAAAGTTAAGTTTAAGGCTTAAATTTAAACTAAGAGATTGTCTATAGTCTATAAATACTCTCTACATATACATATCTATTTATACATATAAAAACAATTAAAGCTGAAATATATTCAACAAAATTATTTGAATACTTAATTTATGCTCTATAAAGTTTTTCCTTACGTACGTGTATGCTTAAATATTTTACACTTAATAATGATTTAAGATAAATATTTTTATTTGAATATAATATTATACATATTTATAAACTAAATTGGAATTGAATAGAATAAAAGACTGTCTCAGCAATCAAAAAACAAAAATGATCAACTTATTTATGAAAATCAAATGTGAACACAATTAAATGCATAAATATTAAAACATGAAAAAAATGGCAATATTTTGCTCAGTTTTTTAAGATTTATGCTTAACAATGGTATTCCCTCTCTGTTCTGGGCGGCATTAAAACTTTTTGGCTTTTTGTGCAGATTTTGGAACTCTGTTAAAAGTCGAGGCCTGGCGGGACCTGGCAACAACCAAAAGCAAATGCCGCAGGTTTATAAGTAAATACATATATAGTGCTTATATATTTATATATATATTCTTTTTATAAACGTATATAGAATAATATTTGCAGGGTGCGTGAGAGAGAGCAAGAGAGAGAGAGAGATTGTGGGTGAGCTGAATTGTTGTCTTGGACACAAATCTGAGGACATTGTAATGTACAAGTATTGTAAATAATTTAAAGTTTGCTACAAGGCGTTCACAGCCAAAACATGCAGACCATTTGGTTGGTAATGCGTTGCCATTGAGGCAGCTGCTTTTGTTGCTGTTCCTGTTGTTACGAATACTTGGTATCATTTGGCAAGTTTTGCGTTAAACTTTTGCCTCGACAAGTTGCTGGCCAGAGTTTTGCGCACTGCAAGCATGTGGAAAATACATAAACAAGCAACACCACACACACACACACACACACATACTGGGAAAATAAAAATAAAAATACTAGTACTATGTGTGGCTTTCTAGTAGAAGTCTAGCAGTTGGCCAGGCCAATTTCACTTGTCAGCCGCATGTCTACCTCAATTTCACAGAATTCACAAAATTATTTCAAATTTGACACTCGAAAATTCAAGTGTGGTCACAAAATTAACTCAAAAGAAAAGCAAAGAATTTGCATTTCTCAGAGTAGGCTTTAAGCTGAGAGCAAACAGGATTTTGGAAACCTTGTCGAAAGAAGCTGAATGCCTTCAATTTTCATTGATTAAAATCTGATTACAAATTTTATATATGTCAAAATTGAATGGAAAATCCTTTAACTAACTTCACCATGTACAGAGTTATTATTAGTATTTTTATAAATAGTTTTTCGATATTTTTAATTTAAGTTCGAGCCTCTGCGTGTAGTTTTATAACCATGGCAGCAAGTTAAACAAATTTAAAGATAGTTTGTCTCAACAATATCTCGTCGCTTTATTCAGCAATTACAACTAGTCTGAGCCTCAATAAACAATTTCAATCAAATTGCAGCTCACTTGAATTTGTGTTAAAATTGTTGCCAAGAACATCCTTCAATGCAACTAAATTTTCCATTGCTCATTATAAAACGCCAAATGGAGTTTTCTCACACTCTACCCCGCTCCCTCTCTTTGCTGCTCACTCTCTTTGCCAAGATGATTTGCCAGCGCAATGTCGTCGCTGGATTTGCGAAGCACTTGAAAGCATTTTACGCTTACGTTAACAGTTTTTATAGCCCGAGCAGCAATAAGCATATTGGTTTGTGGCTGTAATGAGCTACAGCATCAGCTAACACCCCACCACCTCCCTCTTCGCAAAGCCCAGGCGCTTTACAAGATGGTAAAGCAAATTTACAGCGATTTTTATATATATACATATATATAGATATATATCTTATTTTTTAGCGCCGTCTCTGGGCGCATTTGTAAAGTTTTATGTTTGCTTAAACAATTTGATTGCGTGGCGCTGGCAAAGACAGGCAGACAGACAGTTAAAGAGAGATAGATAGTGAGAAAGAGAAAAAAAGAAGACTTCCGTGACGAGTCATAAAAATCGTATCATTATAGCCATAAAACTGGGATTTCTGTTTATTTGCCGGATTGCCAACATTTCGCTTGTTGCTGCTGGGTTTCGACTAAAATTTAAATAAATTTAATTATGTTTGTGCTGTGTGCTGGCAGGTGTGGGTTGGGGGCTGTGGGTGGTTAGTATGTTACAAAGATTAAAGGCATACGAAATGAAATTTGTAGATGCCATAGATAGCACCAGAGCCCAGAACCAGAACTGGTTGAATTGGATTGGTTGGGATTGTGGGTTTTACTCGTTAAACTGCAGCCAAGTTTTGCTTTGCGTGCAACGTTTCTTTTTTTGTAATTTTTTGCTCCCGTTGATTTTTCATTTTGCACGTTTGACTGGCGCTGGGAATTAGATGAGAGAGGGTGAAGGCGGGTCGGGGCGGGGCTTTATAGAGCAAACAATTTCGTTGTTGATATGTGCAAATTGATTTCAACGTTTCAAATGTACAGTTATAGATATACGCTAACACAACTCCACACATAGACACACACACACACGCACACAAATAGAGCAATAGGATTACGGACGCAGGCAGCCGGGCAATTTATATGGAAATTAATACTAACATTTTTACTATAACGCAAAAAATGAGAAAACCAAACAGAATATAAAAAATCGAATTGATTTTATAAAATATATTCCACAAACGTTTTGCCAGACAGTGGCGCAGCCTAATAATTAGAAAAAGGGTTTGAATGATGATAAAAACTATAAACTAAAGTATAGTTGTATTTTATTTATTTTATTTATGTACTGTACCTGAACTTAGCTTTTCCTTTCAATTGAAGTTTCTAAGACTCGAAGCGCCTCTCTGCGACCCAATCAAATAACTCAATATACTCGTTTACATTGTCTGACAATTTTCTTTTCGCAAGCCCCCTTTGCAATGACGCCTCTGTTTCTGAAACATTGTTAAAATATACCCATAACTTTTGGCCTTGTTTTCAATATGCCAAAATCCTCATAAAAATTGACCCCGCGTGGCAAAAGGCCTCGTAAGGTAAGGACGGCGGGCGTGAGATGAAGCATAGCAACAGAAGAAGTAGGCATATAAAATCAGCATATGCTCGATGCCGTAAAGTATGCAGCTGTTTTTTATGGCCCCAACCCTAGTTCGAAAAAGTTAGGCCTTCCAAATGCTTGGCCTGGCAATTTATGCGCTGCCGCCGCCCAAAAACCGCCCTCAACCATCGCCCCCATCCGCTTAACATGGTTTTTCTATTTCATCTGTACGAGTTTTTAATAAGTGCAAAGTGCGGGCAGAAGTTGTGCAAAAATTTCAACATTTAAGGGTTGTTGTAGCTTAGCTGCAAATAGTCAAGGGTCGAGGTAGGGGCTGTGTTGGGTATTGAGCTGGCGGGTAGAGGGAGGCTGCTGATGCTGCTAAACTGTTGGATCTGCTGGCAATGTGTGTGTGTGTGTGTTTGTTGAGGACAAATCATTTGCCAACAAAAACTAGCTACGAAAAAGATATGAGCGAAATGAAGCAGCAGGAATATCCTCTTGCTGGGTTGACCCAACCCCTGATACCCCTGATGCCCGAATGCCACGCCCCCGCTGCCACTGCTGTCCTCTTGACTGACAGCTGCAATTCACCTGTCAGCATCAGCAGTAGCAGCAGCAGCACATTTCGTTTTACTGAATTGCATTGAAATACGATGCTAAATTTAACGATTCATTGCATTTGCTGTTATCCAACACTTGCCCCGGCAAATTGCAACTCTGTTGAAATCCTGCAGCGCCCACCTTCCGCCCTCTCTCACACTCTCTAGAGGCGCGTTGTGTATTTTTAATGCAGCAACTTTGGCATAGAATTGCTAAATCTGCTGAGTCTAAGAAACAGAAACGCCTTGGCACTGGCTCCGGCTCTGGCTCTGTCTCTGGGTAGGGCACTGCTTGTGGATCTGGTTCTGGCACTGGTTCCGTTTTCTGAAAGTCTGCAAATAAAATATAAAGTGCAGCATAGTTTTACGCTGGGGTTTTTATAGCCAGCGTCGACGTCGCCGTCGCCGTCGCCGTCGACGTCTTGCAACTAAATTTTAATGTTACTTCAAAGAGTAATAAAAATAAACTTTACGCAAGTTGAGAACAAGCTGCGCACACGGCCCGGCCCGGCCCGAACCGACCCGGAGCTCGGAACAAAAGCTAGCGATTATATCGTATGGCCGACTGCAACTATGCAATGTACAATTTTAATTAAATTGCACAACAAGACAGGGATAAGAAGACAGAAGAAGTAAAAGAAGTCCTGCAGGCAGCAGAAAACGCGCACAGGTTTGATTTTCAAATTGCGCGCCCGACCAAAAAAGTGTCAACAAAATCCCATTAAACAATTCATCAAATCGGCAAATCGATGAATGCCTGTCCATTGTTCCCCCTTACCGCCCCTCATTGAGAATAACTAAGTAAAGCTGGCCCAAAGTTTTCGGGCCTATCCGGACGACAGGTTGTCGCTGCGCAGTCAGGCATATAAATGATGTGGAGCTTCTAAGACAGTCATTAATCAAAATTAAAAGTGTGACCAGATGGTCAGCTAAGTAGCAGTGGGAAAGAGAGAGAGGATAGAGAGAGTGAGAGTGAGAAAAATGTCGAATTCTAAATCGTGCTTACTTTCACTTAAATAAATAAGCCCGCTTTGTACGGTTAAAGCTCATTGGCCCCCCCACATTGCCTGAAGAGCTGCGCTCCTGTTTTACTGCCCAGTGACCCTTCACATTTGGCTTCAGCTAAATGAACCGATAAAAAGGTAAACCATTAAGTC